AACAGACATTTAATTTCTCACGGATCTGGAGCCTGGAATCCAAGATCAAAGTGTCGGCAGGCTTGGTTTCTTCCAAGGCTCCTCTCTCTGGCTTGCAGAAGGCTGCCTTATCTCGTGTCCTCACCTGGTCCTTCCTCTGTGCACAAGAGTGTCCCCCCCCCCCCGTGTGACCAAATTTCCCCTCCTTATAAGGACACCAGTCCAATTGGATGAGGGCCCACCCTAATGGCCTCATTCTGCCTTAATCGCCTCTTTAAAGGCCTCATCTCTAAAGATGGTGACATTGTTAGGTACTGGGGCTGAGGCCTTCGACATACCAGTCCAGGGGAGACACAACTTGGCCAGAACAGAGTGGCTGGTACTGCTGAGAAATCCCGCAGCGAGGGTTAAGTTCATGGTTCACGGGCCTGGTGAAAGGGAACGGTAAGAGGCACAAATTGGGAAGGATTCCGCCTGGGCACATGAAGTAGCCAGACCGCTCCACTGGGAGAAGGCTGTGACGTCCAAATGTGCCTCGTCTGCCGCCAGCTCACCACCGTCTGTCCCAGGAGACCCACGCATCAGGCGCAGTGCCACGCGTGCTGGAATTACTCAGGAATGCTTCCTCGCCTGTGAGGGGAGGGCGCTGGAGGCCAGGGCTGCCTCCCCACATCCCTGGAACGATGGGCCACAGCCTCTTATCTCTCCCGGGTGCCTCCCTAAACCTCCAAGCTTCCCCTTCGTTTTTTTCTCTAGATCTTCTGATTTCAGTCTGTGAAATGTTATCAGCACAAATGGACTTGCACATTCAAATGACCTCAGAGTTGGGCAGGTAACATAAACAAAGGAATGAGACAAGGATAACAAGCCAGGGCGTGGCTGAATGGAAGGTGATTGCCCTGCCCCAAAGCGTTCAAATTCAGTGTGTCTGAAAACACCACGCTGGCCAAAGCAAAACAAGCTTGCCAGCCAAATGCAGCCTCCAGGCATCTGGTTCGGGCCTTCCGCCGAGGATACAGGATACGGTGAAGAGATGGGCTTTGAAGACAGACCTTCGCCTCTTAGTTGCAAAACACAGTGGTGTTTGAAAACGTAGAGCTGGTGTGGGGAAAATGTGAATTAAAGTATATAAAGTGCTTAGTGCAGGGCCTGGCACATAGTAAGTGCTTAATTTATAGTAGCTGTTATTACTGTGGTAAGTCAGAGGACAGCGATGGCGATGAATTTTTTATAAAAGCAGCGAGCCTTGTCAGGAGTGCGTTTATGAGACCGTTCATGTGTGGGGCCTCGGCGCCCCCCAGTGGTCACCATCGATAACTGCAGTGCAGTGTAGCGAGCTGAAGACATTGGTTAGGGACCAAGTTAAGCTTTAGGGTCAGACAATGGGTTTGAATCCAGTTCTGCTATATGCAAGTAGTTGACAAGTCATTCACCTGCACTCTTACCCTCCATCTCTCTGCCCCCAGCAATTAGACTCCCATGGAGTGGCCTTAACAACTTAATGAGACAATATAACATCTTCAGGCATGCAAGGGATATTAATATCCCCTAAGTGCTGGCTATGATCCTAACATGATCCTAGCCTGATGCCAGCACGATGGCAGTGTGATCCTCGTGCTCAGAACCCCACCGGCCCCGCACTGCCAATATCTTTCCATCTTATAGGAAGGAGAAACAGATGGATACCCGTTATTATTTATTTTTTCTTTTATTGGGTGGAGCTGAGGAGGGGTTACTCTGCCTTGGAGCCCCTGACCAAAAAAAGAGGCCCCCTGTGGATACCTGAAACCTCACTGGAGCAAAGTATTCTCTTGATAATGCATTGCTCTACCCAGACTTTTTTACAGTGAAAATTCCCCTGCAACTTTCAAATACCCAGATGAGGATGAGTGTGTATCAGCTGCTTTCCTTCCAGACAAGAAGGGTCTAGGGGAAACTCGGGGTGAGGGACATGTTGTACTGTCATGATCTCTAGAAGAACTCCACTCCACACACACCCTTCACCCCAGTTGCTTTTCTGCCCACACGGGCGACTTTCTTCCTTCTTAGAGACCAGAAGGGGATGAGGAACCCACTAAGGGAGGCCTTCCTGGAGGGGGAGGCCTGCCCTCCAGCGGCTGAGCCATCCCCAGGAGATGGGGGACCCGAGCCCAGGCACGGGCTGGGACTGCAGAGTCCCTTACCATTTCCCTCTGGAGCAGCCGCCCCCACACCAGCCATGCTCGTGCCTCCTTCCAAGGTCTGGGGGTTGTTTTCTAGCAAACAGAAGTACCTTCTGCCTGGATACCCAGACAGAGGGGCCTCTGCTTGCTCCTTGAGCATCCTTTCCCACTGCCCTGGAAGATTGCTGCCAAGACCTTAAGGTAGTGGTCAGTGATCGCAGGCCCTGGCAATGCCCATAGGGTGGTTTCAAGTTCCCCTATGGCACAAGACACCTTAAATGAACGCTGGATGTGGCAGAGGACCAAAGGAACTTCCCAGAGCTGCCGCTGGCCAAGGCTGGGACAGTCTGTGTGCGGCACCTGAGCCACCAGGGGGCGCCAGACTCTGACCAACCTTCCCTGACTGGGAGACTCCAATGGGGGCTCAGGAAGGAGCCTTTTTTTCCTTTCTTTTTTTTCCCATTCCCACCCCACAATAAGCCGCCTTTTCCAACCATCCAAGGTGATTCTCATGCAGCCATCCCTCTGCCCCGAGCCCTCACTCCCATGTTCTACACACACACACACACACACACAGCCAGTCTACAGACCCTCTTTCCTTCAGTAGGTTTATTAAAACCCCTGCAGATTAAAAAGCCCCCCTCCTCATTCCTAGCCTCACCACCTCACCAGTGGTCCCTCCAAGCCCATCCTTCTTCCTGGGGTCCCTGGATCATTCCAGGGTTTCGAATGCCTCTTGACCACCCGCAATCCCCCCTCATTTGTATCTCACTCCACCACCTGTGAAGAAAGCCAGGTGGCAGGGATTATGGTCTCATTGGCAGAAGAGGAAACTGAGGCATAGAAAGAAGGAATGGCTGACACAGCAAGACAGGGGTGGCACCAGGGAAAGACCCGGGAGTCCCCGTCACCACATCACTCTAGGATGTGATCCACTCCCTGCCTGTGGATGGGCCAGGGGGCTTCCCCTCCAACCTCCCCACAGGGCAGCCAGCTGCGGGAGAGCCTCCACAGAAACTTCTCACTCGCTGCCTGCCTCCAGCTTGCGGTGGGACCTTTCGCAAACCCCTCCTCTCTGAGTCTCTGTAGAGAATGAAGACGACCTATAGGCTCCCCCCCACCCCCCACCCGAGACGTTCTGGGACTATCTATCTGGGGCCTGGGTCATCGCCACCCTTCAGGATTTCTGGGGTCCTCCATCAAAATGCAAGGGGGCTCTGGGGAGGCCTGGACAGTACTGTGTGTGCAGCAATCACGACATATGTCTCCATCTCACGCCTGGGCTTTACTTCACAACCATCAGCATTTTGTGGAATCCTCACTGCAGTCAGACGTAGTATTATTATTTTCCCTATTTTATAGATGAGGAGACTGAGGGTCAGAGAGAACAATAAGGGGCTGAGCAGGACTGCAGGCCAGAAAGACCTAACCTCAAAGTTCAGGCTCTTTCTTCTACCATACGCTGCTCAGGGAAGGTTCTGGAGGTCTGCTTTAGAAATTCAGGGTGTGTCCTAGAAGGGTCTTTGATCTGCCCCACCAGAACTGAAGCCCTTCGGCTGCCCCTCAAGAGGTAATAGGGGAACTGTGTGAGAGAGAGAGACGGGACTCCAGCGTCTCTCGCTCCCTCTGGCCAGTCCCTCAACCTGGGCCCACAAGCAGACACCGCAGCCCCCGCAGAGCCCACGAGCAGATGCAGGTTTATTATTCCACAGACCGCAGCGTCCTGAACTGTCACCCCAAACACCAGCTCTAAAACTAGGCCCGGACCTCTGGTGCCCGCAGGCTTGCCCCCCGCACTGGGCCAGCCCACAACCTGGACTGTGGTCTCAGAGCCAAGGCCTGGGGCTCCCCGGCCCTGAGCAGCACCCCCAGCCCGGCTGTCATTCCTTCGAAGTCCACCAAAGCCCACACACAGATGCAGAGCCGCGGGCCGGCTGAGGACGGGGGATCTGCGTGCTCCCCTCCGGAGAAATGCAGTCCACAATTCCAACCACACATGAGGCTTCAGCAGCGCTCGCAACAGCCACTGTGAGGCTGGAGGAAGGTTCCCAAGTACCGGGGGAGGGGGGGGGGAGGCAGAGCCGACCTCTCATCAGAAGCAGACTTGAGGCCACAGAGCTGCCCCCGGGGAGGCTGGGCCACGGCCCCGAAGCCCCAAGTCCACAGACACAAAGGCTGTGGAGCGACAGCCAGGCAGTTCTGCTTGGGCGCCACCGCCACGACCATCTCTGGGCTTGGAGGGGCCTTTCCGTCTGTCCTCCCAGGTGCAGGGGCCCCGTGAGCCCTCGGCCCCCACCCAGCCCCCACAAACACAAGGAACCAGAGGCCCAGGGGGACACAGAGCATCTGTAATGAGCTACATGCAAACGCCATCTTCTGCCCAGCAAGCCAAGGGACTTAGTATCGAACAGACCGCACCCCACGGGGCCCCCCAGACTTGCTCTCCTCTCCCTGGGAAATGCCTGTGGACAAACAGCCTGTCTCCAGCTCCTGCCCCAGAGTCCGCCCCGGCGGGGGGGGGGGGGGGGAGGCGGGGAAATGTGCCTGGGCTTCCAAGGACTTCCATGCTCACTCTCCCCTGAGCTGGCGCTGGGCCCCGGTGAAGGAAGCCGACACACCAATTCACAGGACCCCCCCCCCCCACTAGCTTCCTCGCGGCAGCCCCAGGGCTCCTGGACGGTGACCCTTAGCACCCTGAGGGCACTGGAAGCCCTGAATGCAATGCCAGCCTCCGGCTCAGGCACAGTGGAAAACAGGGGCCCTCCTAACTGCCCCTTAGCCCCTACTCCCGCCCCCACCCCGGGCCACTGTCCAGAGGCCTCCCCGCCAAAGGCTCCAATGCCTTGCGTCTCCCCCTCTTCGACAGGGCAGGAAGGGAGGCCGGCTGGACCACGGGGAGGAGACAGGAGCACTGTATCCGGGGACACCGCTCCGGGTGTGTCTGTTTCCTCTGCTGTCATCCAGAACATCTGTTAGCAAGGGACACAGTGTGTGCTGCGCGGAGACCACGGAAGGCAGGGCCTCTGCCTGCCGGCGGCTCCCTTGCTCGCCCACCACAGGGATCCGCCGGAAGTTAAAACAAAGCAGGGCTGGGGTGGAAGGAAAGCGGCTGGGAGTTAGTGTTACTGTCCTGGATCAGTGACTTCTCCCGAAACACACAAAAGCTCAGGGAACGGGGACCTGGCAGCAAGGCGAGGGAATGGATGAGGATGAGGGACAGGAGCGCACAAGGGACGGGGCTCTTCCTTCGAGGCCCCCCCACCACCGCACAGCGCTCCCGGAGGGCCCCCTGCACGTTCCCTTGCTCTGGGCCCCACTGCCGCCCCGCACAGCGCCACCGCGGCCTCCGCGAACGCATGTGGTGCGGCTGCGAGCTGGATCCCGGGGCTCCCGGGCCAGGGTTCAGTCCTCCTGGCCTCCCTGCCGGGCACTGCACAAAGACGGGTCCTCGCATCCTCAGCAGGAACTCCTCTGCAAAGAGACAGCGAGAGGGTCGAGAGAGAGGGAGGGAGAAAGCATTCCCTTGCCTGGTACCCTCTTCCCCGCCCTCCCACCGCGCAGGTCACAAGCTGTCAGTCATTCCCAGACGCCCTGTAAGATGAGGCTGCTGCAGGGCTCAGCACTCACCCCAGCGCAGCACCTACCCGGCTGATACTGTCATGGCTATTAGCAGGGTCTGGACTGGACAGGGCCTTCTCCTCCTGGGACTGAAGGAACCTCCAGCCCACACTAAGCTAGGAGCGAGGAAGGGGGGCTGTGGTGGGGGGCAGGGCAGGAGGCAGAAACTCTGCTAGTATCACCAAGCACAGGCTTTATGGTGCCAGCAGGCAGTGCTTTTATGCGTCACGTGGGTACTTCACCCTGAGACCACTTTCCGTCAGGCCAGCCCAGCCCATCTCCTTCTCACAGGACCTCACCAAGCCCTCCTGGCTCCATTGTGGGGAAACAAGTGACCGTCAGCTGGGGGAGTGGTTCTAGAAGAGAGGACTGGGGGATGGGGAGGCTGGGGGCGGAGGGATTAGCTCTGGTAAGACTGAGAGTCTGGGGAAGAGGGTCAAGATCTGTTCTGCCTGCATCCGGATGCCTGACGTCTGCCTCTAAGTTAAGGGTTTACTTTCATCTTCACCCTGTTTCTTAGGGCTGGAGCGTGTCTGACAGGGAGCAGGTGCTCTGCACTTGTTGAGCTAATGAGGGTGTGTGTGTGTGTGTGTGTGTGTCTGTGTGTGTGTGTGCGCGCGCGCGCACGGTGTATTGGGGAAGGCATGACCTATCAAATCCACACTCTGGGTCCCTGCCTCTGTTGGGGGATGGGCCTCAACGAGCCACCAGACAGATGACCAGTAGGCAACCTCCTTCCTCCATCCCCCTGGTGCCCGGAGCTCGCCACAGCTCCCACCCCCTGGCAGACGCACCTGGTAGACAAGGGTCAGGTCAGGAGGTGAACGAAGAGGATGGCCAGGCCGATGTTAAGCAGGATCACCATGCAGATGAGGACAGTGTTGGGGACCTGGGAGCAGTAGAGAGAAGTTGCCTGAGTTCCTACGGCCTCCGAAACACCCTCTGCCCAAGTCCCTACGAGGCTGGACAGAGGAGCGGGAACTTCTGGAAGAGCTCTCCTCTGAGCACCCCCTTGTTTTGCTCACTGCTGTGTCGGGTGCCTGGACAGCAGACCATCAGGGCTGGAGGGATTCTGGGAAACAATTAACCAAACCGTTTAGGGTCCAGAGAGGGTAAGGGTTTGTCCCAAAGCACACAGTGGGCAGCACTGGAACTGGAAGCCAGGAACGTGCCTTCCTTTCTGCAAATGCCCCCTGGGCCGCATCCACGGCCCCCTCAGACCTAGCTTCATTCCGGCCCCTGAGTTTCCAGCTCCCAGCCGGCTCTAATAAGCCCTATTGGGCCCTTCCTCCACTGCCGGAAGCCCTCCCTGCTACACCTGGGTGCAGATGCTTTTGGTGCTCAGCTCAGAGAGCCCTGGTCCCGCAGGTGCACTCACTCCCCGACCCCAGGGCCTATGGCTTCCAGCACCCCCTTCTCCAAAGCACTGCCTCCTGCTGACCAGAGAGCAGGGGAAAAGGCCTGTCCGCTGTCCCAAGGTGCGGATTCTGCAGAGAAATTTACATTCCCAAGGTCTCTGCTTGACCACGCCCACATCCGTGCTGGGGATTTCCCTGCCCTATCCTGTGCCCTCACCCTTCCCACCCCCAAATCATCCGCACTGGAATCCCACCCGAAGCCCGATCGCCCTGGGGGACCCGACACGGGACACCCTGCCACCAGCTTCACTCACCTCCTCCACCTCCACCTCCGCCTCCGCTGCCTGCGCCGCCTCCTTCCGAGCCTTCTTCTTGGCCCCCGCCTTGGTCAGCCCTCGGGCCTCGGTCTTGCGGGCCTTGGCCTTGAGCTCGGCTTTGGGGACGATGGGCTTGGGCTCCAGCTTGGCGGGGGAGTTGGGCGCGGGCTCTGGGGCCCGCACTGGGGCGGCGACCGGCGACGGCGGCGCGGAGTCGGGCCCGGAGGCCTCGGGCTCGTCCTCGAAGGGCGGCGGCGCGGGCGGCGCGGTGCGCACGGCGTAGCTGTGGTAGCCCCGGTACAGCGCCACCTCGGGCTCATGCGACGGCGCGGGCGGCGGCTGCAGAGCCTCGATGGGCATGTGCTCGGTGGCCGGCCGCGCGGGGCTGCGGCTGCCCGCACCCTCGGACGGCGTGAGCGGCCCGCTGCCCTCGGCGCCCGGCTCCCCGTTCCAGGCGCCCGGGCTCGCCGGGCGGTCCTTGGTGGCCCCCGGACGGGGGCGCTTGGGCTGCGGGGGCGTCCCGGTGGGCGACGGGGGGCCTCCCTCGAGCCCGGGGGGCTCGTGCTCGTGCAGCTGCGGGCTCTCGCGCGTCCGCTGCGGGGCGCCCGCGGCCCCTGGGCCCCGCTCCGGGGGCTCGAGCAGGCTCTCCGAGTTCTCCAGGATCTCCTGCAGCAGCCGGCGCTTCTGATACTCCGGACCTGCGGGGGACAACCGGCGAGGCTGGCCTCGAACCCCGGTCCCACCAACGATGACCCTGGGCAAGCCATTTAACCCCAGCCTCCTTCATTGACTCAGCCAGCACCTTCCTACCATCCAGCCTGTGCCCAGCACTGTGCCAAGCAATTTCCAAACGGGAGCTAATTGAGGCGTTCTAACAACCCTATGAGTTCCGTGCTATTAGCCTCATTTTTACAGATGAAAGAAAGGGCGGCTCGGAGAGGTGACATCACTTGCCTAAAGTCACCAGGCTGACAAAGGGCAGAGGCAGGACCAGACCCAGTCCGACTAGCTCCGGAGTTTATGTTCTTAACCGTGGCACTGGTTTCTTTCCACCCCCTTATCTGAAAAACGGCCTAATCATACCTATTTCACAAATACTAATGCACGCCTTAATTGAAAAATGCATGTCACATGCAGAGCTCAGAGCCTGGCACAGGGTGACAGCTGTTGCTATGACCACTGAAGGTGGGAGGTGTCGCTCTTCCTGGGACCAGCAGGGGGAGCGCTGGGACGGGAGGCAACTTACTTTACAGGTCTGCGCTCCCAGGTCCCCCTGCCAGTCCCCTGTGGTCTCCCTGCTACAGGCAGAGTAACAGAAAATTCAAGTTTAATCACGCCACTCACCAGAAATCCCCTCACTTCCGAGAAGGCTCTCCCACGCCCTGGGCTCCCATTGCTCCACCCAGGCGCCAACTCTGTATCCGAGGCAGGGGCTGCAGAGTAAGGGCTCATCCCCCTCCCCCCAACGCCCACCCCCCACCCCCCCGCCTAGCTTACTGTCTAGCTTCCTCATCTGCCCTCCCTTCCATGTTTCTGGGCCTTTGCACCCGCAGTTCCTTCCTCTCAATGTGCGGGTCCCACATAGCACTACGTGGTGCAGAGATGCTCAATGAGTGGTCCCAAACCAGCAGCACTGGCACTGCCCGATCCTTGTTAGAAAAATCACATTCATGGGCTCTACCCCAGACCTACGAAATCAAAACCTCGGGGTGGGCCCAGTGTTCTATGACATGTTTGAGACCCACTGACCTGAGGGCAGCCTTCTCTAACATCTCCCTGCCTGGAGATGTAACTCCCTGGGTTACGTGCTCCCCATGAGCTCCCAGAACCCCCGCTCTAACCACACAGAACGTATGCTGTGTGGAATTTAATCGTAACGGGGAAATGACAGCCAATACCAACAGTTATCAAGCGCTTGCTATAGATGGTCCATGTGCTCTTCATCTGACATGCACTTAATCCACCCCCCAAAAGTATTATTCTTATCCCATTTTACAGATCAGAAGACAGGTTTACAGAGGCGAAAGAATTGAACAAGGTCTCTGAGCTGGTGAGCAGTGGAGTCAGGACGTGAATACATGCCTCACGCCCTGATACACTGTCTTCATGATTCTCTGCTCCTCTAGATTCTGGACCGAGGCTTTGTGCCCCCCAGAGCCCAGCACAGTGCCTGCCCCATGGGCGGGACTTGATTAAACTGAAAGTGATGAGCAGGAGCGGGACCTCTCCCTTCGCTAAGCTTAACTAAGCAGCAGGGAGAGGAGGCAGCCTGGAGTGGGGCCAGCATGCAGCGGGAGCCTCTGGTTCCCCGCCACGACCTCAGCATGAGTCCCCTGGTGTCACCCCATCCCATGCTTTCACCGTACCCCCTTTTCTTCGACCCGCAGACATTTGTGAACCCACCTGGGTATCTCAGCCTTCCAGCAAGCAAACAAAAAGAAAAATGGTCCAACCCTGGGGACCTGCCCGTCCCCTCCCTGGGTGGCCCTACCTGGCTGGTAGAAGTCTGGGGCCAGCTCCCTGGCCAGAGTGCGGGCAATGTTGGACTCCTGGTTGGCAGCCACGGCGGCTTGTTCCGCTGCCTCAGCTTTGGCCTTGGCGTGGCTCGTCCTAAGGAGACAACGTGGTAGAGACTCAGAATCCCTCCAGAAAACCAGACCTCTGCCTACAAAAGATATGCTGGACAGAGCAATCATTCGCTCAGGCTCTCAATGAATCTGTATTGAACCCTGTGGCCCAGACCGCTGTGTGTTGCCTAGACCATTCCGTCTTCTTTCTGAGCACACCAGACAGACCACATCTCTTGCAATCAGTGTGGTCAGGCAACTGAGTTCTGTCCAATGCACTGTGGGAAGACATGGCATACACTGTTTCAGGCCAGGCCCATAAAAACCTCCTCTGTAACCTAGATCCTCTCCTGTTGCCCTGTTGCTGGTTGAATGGAAGAAAAGTTCCAGAAGAGGGAACTTAACCTCTTTTGGATCACAGATCCCTTGGGCATCTGGTGATACCTATGGACTCCTTCTCAGAATAAGGTTTTGAAATGCATAAGATACATAGGATTACAAAGGGATGCAATTATATTGACACACCATTACCAAAATATTTAAAGGAATAAATTTGTAATGTAACGTATGTATCCTTCATTAACACATTGAACAAAGTATCTAGCAAGTCTACTAACTACACGAATTTTAAAGTATAGATTGGCATAAAGGGTATTTCAAAGACATCTGCATTAGGGGCACCAGGCTGGCTCAGTCAGTGGAGCATGTGACTCTTGGATCTCTGGGTTGTGAGTTCAAGCGCCATGTTGGGTGTAGAAATTACTTTAAAAAATATTTTTTAGAAAACAAATATCTGCAACAACAATAACGTGAAAGTATATGTGATTTCTACTGGCGACAGTCACAGATATTTAGTTTTTATTTGTTTATTTTTTTGAGAGAGACAGAGTGCTAGTGGGGGAGGGGCAGAGGGAGAGGGAGACACAGAATTTGAAGCAGGCTCCAGGCTCTGAGTTGTGAGCGCAGAGCCTGACACAGGGCTCGAACTCATGGACCATGAGATCATGACCTGAGCTGAAGTTGGATGCCTAACTGACTGAGCCGCCCAGGTGCCCCAAGTAATGATAGTTCTAATACTGCTGTGGTTTGTTGCCTACCTCTATAATTTGAAGCAAATCCTAGTTTCATTTAGAGGTTAGTAAAAACAAGATAGTTTCCCCATCTGTTGTAGACACTTTTGCTCCCTGCCCAGATCCCTTCGCTGGGCAAATGCACCCACCCCTAGCTTCTGTATAGGCTGCTAATGGCTCACTGCTGGCCCAGAGAACTGCACCTAGCAGAAGCCCTGTTTTTCTGGAGGTCAAACTGTCCCCCACTCCAACCAAGCACCCACAACTAATGACTGATGACACCCACCGACAGTCCCCTCTTGACCCAGGAGGATCCAACTCTGTGGTGCGAGCCACAGAACACCCCCCACGTCCCCTCCCGTGGGGTCAGGCTGAAGGGGGACTGCAGGTAAGATTACATCCTTGCTGGGTCACTTCCCTACCCTACCCTGCTTCTGTCACCCTCCCCTCTCCTGAGAGCATCCCCTCAAAAAAATCATCTGCTCATGTGGTGCCTGGGTGACTCAGTGGGTTAAGCATCCAGCTCTTGATCTCAGCTCAGATCATATCTCACAGTTCATGAGATGGAGCCCCACATCGGGCTCTGTGCTGACAGCAGAGTCTGCTTGGGAGTCTCTCTCCCCATCTCCCTGTGCCCCTCCCCCGCTCCCACTCTCTCTCTCTCTCTGTCAATAAATAAAAACTTAAAAAAAAAATCTGCTCAATAATCCCCACCTCAGATTCTGCTTCTAGAGAGTCTAACCTAAGACAGCATCCAGGTTCACAGACTCCCTAAATTCCATCCACAGAACCCGCTGTGAACCCCATGTTAAGAAACACGGGAAGGAACCAAGGTCCCGAGATGATTATAGATAATGCGAAGTTCCTTTCCCACAGTCCCACACCGGAATGTGGAACATTTAGGCATTACATTGAAACATTCGGTGTGCAACCTTTAAAGAAGCCTTACATGTTTATCGTGTTAAGCACCCGAGATCTGGGAGACGTTTGTTTTGGCTGTTAGTCTACTAAAATAATAACAGCTCCGTTATGAATGGGCCAGGCACAGTCCTAAATGAATTATCAAGATCACCTCATGTAATCATCACAATGCCTTAGGGAGCTGGTGCTGTTATTATTTTCCCTATGTTACAGAAAAGAAAACTGAGGCACGGACAAGGTAAGTAATTTGCCCTGGGTCATGGGGTCATTAAGTGCAGGAGCTAGGAATCTGAACCCAGGTGATGTGACCCAGGGCGCGTCCACTCAAGTACTACTCTGGAAGATGTATCAGCCTGGGGCACTGAGGACACAGACTCCTGTGGATAAGGCCCTGTCCCTGCCCTCACTGTCAAGTGAGGCAGGAAGGTGGTAAACAAACAACAAAATATATTTAATACAATATGGTTAAATAAGAACTTAATTGCCATTGTGAGAAGTGCCATGAAGGAAGTGCCATGAAAATAAAGAACCGGTGTTTGCTTTGGCAGCACATATACTGGAAAAAAAAAAATCTAGAGCAGAAAGACAGTATAGATCGGTGACAGAGGTGGGGGCAGTGGAGGTTTCTTTGAGAATGTGACATTTAACTTGAGAAGGAGAAAAACATAAATTAGACCCATAACAGGAGAGGCGGGCACAACAAGGCAGGGAGAAGAAAGGGCACGTGCAAAGGTCCTGAGAGAGAGCAAGAGCTCTGTGCTCTGGGGAACTGAACAGTCAAATCAGCATGCACATCTGCGGATGAGTTAATTCCTCAGGGAGCTGATGTGTGTCTTTGTATTTCAATCTCCAGCATATAGAATTAGGCCTGGAATAAGGGAGACAGGTTTTATTAAGCTGCTTCTATGTGACGGGCCTTTTACCTATGTTATCCCCTTCAATCCTTAAAACTGCCTGGAGGGTAGTTTTTACTGTTTGTAATTTACACCTGGGGAAACTGAGGCTCAGAGAGGTGTCTTCTCAAGGATGCAAAATAACAGTTAATACTTACAAAGCATTTATCACATGCCATGGGCTTTGTAGAAATTAACTCATTTGATCCCCCAATAACACTGGGTAGCAGCTATTAGTACCGCCATCCCTCTTTTCTGAGGGGATTTTAGGGAACTAAGGCAAACTTACACAGCCAGGAAGTGACAAGCAAGATGTCAGACCAAGGCATTCTAGGATCTAGGGTCTGTGCCTTTAACTGCAGGCTATCCTCTCACCCCGTAGGGAACAGCGGAGTTCGAACCCAGAACTCTTGTGATTTCCAAGCCCTGCCCTCACCACCGTGCCGCCTTGCCACAATAATGTTTACTGAAGGAAAGAATACACAAACGTGGGATGTGTGGCTGGTTTAGTTGGTAGAGTATACAGCCCTTGATCTCAGGGTCGTAAGTTCGAGCCCCACATTGGGCATAGAGTTACTTTTACTTAAGTGAACTCACGCATGTGGACAGGTATAAGCAGAGGGGCAGCACAGGCAGTGGCCAAGAGCACAGCTTTGGATTCCAGTTTCTGTGCTGCCAAGGCTGGGGCTAGGGTGAGGCAAGTGAGGCATTCACCGCAAGCGCAAAACTTAGGAAGATGCCAAAAACTCACTAAGCAAGAGAAAACAATATTTTAAAGCAATATTTTAAATGTCAAAAATAATGCCCCAAATCCTTAATGAACAAGTTGTGAACAAAACTTAAATAAAGACTGGATCGGACCCTGCACCTCACCTCACCCTAGTCCTGATCCCACCGTGACTCTAGGACCTTGGGTGAGTTGCTCTGCCTCTCTGTGCCTCAGTTTCTTCGTCTGTACAGTGGAGATAATTATTTTCCCCTCTTGGAGTTGCTGAGAAAACTAATGACTTAAGAGGCAGCCTATGAAAGTGTTTAGGCCACGATGTGACTGAGTGGAGGTGGTGGTGATGGCAGGGGAGGTGATGGCGGTGGGGACAGTGGTGGTGGTGGTGGAGGAGCAGGTGAAGGAGGAGGAGGAGGAGGAGGAAGATGAGGTTTCTGACATCAAAACCGAGTGTGGTATATGCATACGCCAGCTTCATATTTGCCTGTACATGGATGCATGTGACTCAAACTCCTAAACTTCCCAGAAACACTTCCCTGGCAACCTGAAACCCCAGGTCGGGAGGAGGGAAAGTGCTGGGCAAACCTTCAAAGGGAGAAAATGTCCTTTTTTGGTAACACAAGCTGGACGGCGCTTGCCTGTTTCCTTGGTGCCCTGGGAAGCTGTGCTACATACAAGACTCCTCCTAAGGCCAAAAAGGCAGCCTGCACACAGAGCCCCAGAAGATGTGGGGGATCAACCGTGGACCCCCGCCCAGAGTGGCCAGAACAGGGGTTGAGAAAGGGGCGGCCACACAGCCCAAGGCAGTGAGGGCTGCTGTGTTCACAGAAGCACACCGCTCTTCCCCGTGTCCGTCAGTCTGGCCGGCTGACCCCCTTGTCTCTGGTCTCAGGAATGGCTGCCGTCCTTCAAGCCAGACACCCCCGTGTTCTCCCACACCCTCCTCCACGGCTCCTTGCGGCAGCCGCGGCCATCACTCACCAGGTCCCCTCTCCCAGTCCTGCTAAAGCTCCAGCATCCGCGGCCTCTCCCTCCTTCCGTCACTGCTCCTCAAAGGCCCCGTGTGCTCCCTACAACTGACCACAGTGGCATCGTGTGCTGGCATCCAGGGGCCTCAGCTCTTGCTTAAGATCTTTGCAAGGCTTCCTACCACGCTCAAAATAAAGCCCAGGGCACTTAGCACAGCCTTCAAGCTTCTCCAGTCCTCGGCTGAGGCCGCCCTGATGAGCGAATCACCAGCTGCCTTCCCGGCTCAGCACTGTCAGCTCCGGGGTGAGGGCAGGACGCCTGCTGTTGCTCAGAGACTCCTGTAGGTCAGGACCACTCACAGTGTGGCCCATCACCCTCCTGGCCCCTCATCACCTGGGAGCTTGTCAGAAATGCAGGTTCTTGGGCTCTACCCCAGACCTATTGAGTCAGAACTTCAGGGAGAGGA